CCACCTGGGCCACCTGGACCACCAGGACAAAGCGGAATGCCAGGCGTTCCTGGAAATCACGGTGCTCCTGGTCCACATGGAATGAGGGGCATCAGCATGACTGGCGCTCCAAATGAACCCGTCGGCTGCATTAAATGCCCTCCCGGACCTCAAGGACCTCCTGGAATTGATGGCTCTCCAGGAATTGTTGGACCAAATGGGCAGAACGGTGCACATGGCGCTCCTGGACTACGCGGCCCTGAAGGACCTGATGGTGAGCCCGGAAATCCTGGTAATCCCGGACGCCCTGGACAGCCAGGACTCCCAGGAGTACCTGGAATGAATGGAATGCGTGGAAGAGGACTACCCGGACGATCTGGAGCACCGGGAATGATGGGACAAACTGGAAATCCTGGCATTAATGGTGAACACGGAGCTAATGGAGCACCTGGTTCGGAAGGAATTGCTGGAAGACCGGGAGTTCCTGGAACGAAGGGAGAGGATGGATCCCCAGGAATTGTGGGAGGTCCAGGATTGCCGGGACGAGATGCAGCTTATTGTCCTTGCCCTCAACGAACTTCACTGCTTACGGAAGCAGCTGTGGCGAAACCCCCGATCGCCGTATCGCCATCTGGAGGAGTCGGAGGATACAGTTAGATTTGATATAGATAAATTTAGATTTTTATAGATAAATTATTTATTGCTGTTGTTGTTCCAGACCTATGCTCAGGATGAGTGATGCGAAAAACCTCTTTTGCCAAAGGTTTTTCCCTTCCGAAATTGCAATTACTAAAACTCACTTCTTATCCTTCTCTTCTTCTTCGCTTTCATCTTCGTACTCATTCCATCGCGGGTGTAACTTAAATGACAAAAAATTACTTCAAAGAACCTCTGAGAAAGTGAAGGTCATGTAAATTTAATTTTAAAAAATGCAAGCACATAAGAATTCAAGTTGTGCTTTAAATATCTGAGAATATCAATCAATTCTTAAATTGATATGTGATAATCTTCTACAAATCATCATTTACACTATGAACGGGACATGGCTACTGGTAAATGTAGAATTTGCCAAGTTTAGTAAGGAAAATTCCAAAACTATCCTTCCCTACCTCTTCTGACTCCTCATCGCTGCCTTTCCTCTCCTTTGGTGTAGTGTCTGCCTCCTCATCATCTCCCTTATTCTTCTCATCCTCTTCATCTTCGCCCGATCCTTTCTTCGATTTATTCTTAGCTGTTTTGTCTTTGCCATCTCTTCCTTTACTCTTAGTCTTTGACGATTTATTTGACATCTCGGTTGTTGCCGTAGTGGTGTCTTTATCCGAGATTTCATTATCTTCCTGGAGAAAACACATAAAGTCGAAAA